AGGGCTATGATTTCTACAATATAGTGAGAATCACATTTGATTCCATGGGAAAGAATGTTATCTATGGGGTTGAGTGCAAATAAATAGATAAATATACTTTATTGCATGTAGAATTAGAGATTTTAAGGTGACAGATTAAAATCTCCAATTTGGTTCTGTTGATTGGAAATTAATGCGAGATTATTAGCCCTTAGGTGAGAGAGTAGTGGGAGCTCTGTTGTGGTAGTCATTATCCTCCCAACCTAACCACAGAATTAAGGACTAAACTCTGCATTAGTCAATATTCTTTATGCACTTTGAAGAGGGTAAAGAATAAAATTGTCCTTATTTGGCACAAAATAATTTATATATTTTTTTAAATGATTTTAATTTCTTCACTATCCATATACTCATTGTAAAGGGGAATGATATTTTTTAAATTTGAACTCTTCATCAGAAAAACTTTGTTTATTTTTCGTAAGTTACTTTTGAAAGTTTAGCAATTAGTTTAATTGACTTAGGCTTTTGACTGCATTTTATTTAGCATTCACTCGTTTACTCTAGACTCAATTTTTGTACTTCACTTTTGTAGTTTAAATTGTAGTTTACATTATAATCATAAAAAATTACTTATAAGCATTTTCAGCTTCCCTTTGGGATCGTTATCTATAACTCTATTAGAGCCTTTTATTACTTTAGCGATACATATACTTGCGTTATTTTTAGGAGATTTGGCAGTTTAAAGTTTTTTAAAAAGATAAAACTGTTTTCACTAAAGTTATTTTTGTTCAGATTAAATTTCATATTTACTATTGTATCTGCCTTCTGTATTTTGTAATATTAAAAAATATTTGCAAAAAATAAAACACTAAACCCATTTGCATCAGGGACCACCCACATGAGTCTCCAAAAGATTAGGGGAATCAGGCTAAGCATGCTTAGTTTAGGATTTTAGGTTGTGAGTGAAATTGATGGGTTCAAATGTTTGTGTGCAAGACTAACCAAGACAGCACCAGCTAGGCTAACCCTAAGGCCAAACAATCCTACGGGGACTCTTTTTAGCTCCCCCATGCTATTTTCATCATACTAAGTGCTAGAGGTCAAAACCAAACATGTGGAACTTCAAGAAAAGTAGAGAAGCGTTTAGAATTTTTAATAGGGTAGGGTTTCATTACTAGTCCTCTAGAATAGTCAACAGGAAAGTCTTATGGCTAGATCCTAGGCTTCTAAGGAAGAAAAACTAGACCTCAACAAAAAGTGAGGTCAACATCTGTCAAGAAAGAAATAATAGGTTACGACAATAGTGGCAACGTCTTTGGGACGGAGGTGAGCTTACTTCCTCAAAATGTTATCATTTGTTGTGTTATATGTTAGGTTATGGATGTATTACATAGTTAACTTCATGTTAGTTAAAATTTTTTCTTTTTTTTTTTCGTTATTTCCGGATTCTGTTGGGTTTGACTATCGTCTCAATATGGGTTTTAACTATCGTCTAACTATGGCAGAATAACCCGATTTTAAACCCAGAATAACCTAATGATAAACCCAAAACTCAAATAAAAGAAATCCTAACTATCAGGTTATCTTAAGATTATTATTGGTTTATTTTGAAGAAATACTAAAAAAAGCTGAGAATAACCCAATATATTCCCAAAATAACCGCAAAATAATCGAAAATAGGTTTAGGCTACCGTATAATTATAGCAGAATAACCCATCTATAAACCCAGAAAAACTTAATAAAAAACCTTCAACTGAAAGAAAAGAATTTGTATCTATCGTTATATCCAGATTATTTTGGGGTTATTGTCGGGTTTTTTTGAATAAATCCCAAATAACCCGAGAATAAGCCACTATTTACAAATATAGCCTCAAAATTACTGAAAATAGATGTAAAATCTTAACTAACTGGTTATTTTTTTTATTATTTGTGGGTTATTTTTTGATTATTTATGGGTTATTTACGGGTTATCTTAAATAAATGTTAAATAACTCAAGAATAACTCATTATATCCCTAGAATAATCTCAATATAACCGAGAATTGGTTTAGACTAGCGCCTAAATATAACACATTATCCCAACTATAAAGCTAGAGTAAACTAATAATAAAGCCAAAACAGAAATAAGAGAATTCCAAAGTAACTATCGGTTGTTTACGGATTATATTGTGAGACTGATATTTAGGTGTTCAGGGTCTGGTGAAACATAAATAAAAGAATTCCCTTGTAACTTTAGGTTATTTTTGGGCAATTTCAAAGAAATCCATAAATAATGTGAGAATAACACATTATGTTCCCCATAATAACCTCAAAATAACCAAAACTGAAATAAACCCAACCATGAATCAACAATAACTCCTAAATAATTCCTAAAAAGGACTGGTATTAATCTGAAAAAAACTCCCAAAATTGTATTATCCTGGTGTTATTCTGGTGTTAACTTGGTGTTGTTGTGTTGTCAATATGTTATCAATTTGTTGATATTTAGGTGTTTAGGGTGTGGTGTTAGTGCATATTTGACCGTCTTTATGATATAGCGCATATTCGTAGTTCTTTGAGCGCGAAAAAGCTTTCAAGCATCCAATTGTTGACAATTTTCTTAAGACCATTGTCCACAACCAACAAGAAGCTTATGAACAATATTGTGCCTAACCAGATCATGTTGGATTCACTGTCCTCAAGGACCCCAATAGTTATTGGCCTAACTCGAAGCAAATTAAGACGAAGCATTATATTTGTGGAAAAGCTGGTCTCAAAAGAGAGTCGCAATTAACGAATAGGATGAAGTACAGAAAAGCCGACACAAGGACTGGTTGTCAAGCTATGGTTCGATATAATATCGATCTTGAGGGCAATTGGACAATTAAGAAAATTGTAGAAAGTCAGAACCACCCCTTGGCGAAAGCCGGTGATAAGCATATTTTGTGTTCCAGTAGGAAGATTAACGGGTTAAATGTAGATTTGCTCATATCAATGACACAATCATGGATCAGAGCAGCGCACGCATTTAACTTCATTGCTTTGAAGGTTAGGGGAGTAGAAAATCTGGAATGTACGAAGTAAGATGCCTATAACTTTATTCAAAGAGAAAGTCGAAGTAGAATTGAACAAAGTGATGTCAATTCTCTTTTACAGATGTTCATGGAGAGGCAAATTGAGGATATGATCTACATCAAAATAAATCTCCAGCAAAAAATTAATAAATAGTTCATCGACTACACTGAAAGACACTCTGAGTGACACATTAACTAGTTCACCATTCGTCTTCTTGACATCCATATCAATCAGGCGTTATTTTTTCCCGCTTGCTCTTGGTGCTCTGTTGGGCATGCCAATCAGAAAGGCAACTTGATCTACATCAAAACTAACCTCCTTCCCGCCCAATCTAAATAACATACGATCAATATCCCAACAATTCAAAATGTGCAAAATTAGGATATGATCTTGAAGATATAGTGGGAGTTCAAGAAATTGATGCACATTCAATTGTCTCAATCATCTCTAGGTCTCTTGGGAGACAGTGGGCCGAACCTTCTCTAGAACATCTCTAACTGTTGAAGGACGGCATCTACAATTCATACCCTTCTTGTTCATCAACCAACATGAGTAAGAAAGAATTTATTAACACTAACAGCATAAAAATTTTCAAAACACTACTTCAGATATCATTCCCCAATAATTGTTAAATATCCCTGAAATAACCCTAGATTAAATCTCAGACCAAACCAAAAGTAATGCACAAATAAATCATATTGAGCTTATAATAACCCAGTAAAAACGCCAGAATAAGCCTACAATAACCTAAGAATAACCTAAAAAATATACACTATCGCAACCATTCAATTAACCCAACACTAGCCGGAGAATAACTTCCACGAAACCTTTAAACCAAAACAAATAACAAAATAACCCCACAATAATTCAAGAATAACCTAATAATAAACTTCTTAATAAACCCTGACTAACCAAATATTATCCCGATAATAACTCCCACAAAACCATGCCCTAATGCGACATTAACTTAAGATAACCAAATAATAACCCAATAATGACCCAAAAATAACCCTAGAATAATCCAGATTATCTCGTAAACAGAATAAAAAATCGATGTTACATTAACTCATAACTAATAAGTAACCCAAGAATAACTCATAAATAACCCATAAATAACTTAAATATAACCAAAGAATAACCTTGCAATGAACCCCCAAACATAAACCAAGAATAACCCAAACATGTACCCCGAAGCATAAACCATGAATAACACTTGAAAAACCTAAAAATAAGCAAACAATAACCCAACTATAAACCTAAACTACTCGCCAAACAAGACTGGATTCCAAAAGATAACCGGAATAAAACAATCACATATACCATGACAACTCCGCTTCATTCATCTTGATATTCGACCTCTTCGCATCTTTCTTCTTCCTTTCTTTTTTTAATTTCTTTTTTGATTGTTCCTGATTAGCTTTGTTAGCCTCCTTCAACTCCGACCTTATGAGCTCTTCTAACTGCATATTATTTGGATCATCTAAGTCCATTTTGTTCTCTTCTTCTAGCTGCATATTCTTGGGGTACTCCCAACTCCATTTTCTTACTCTTTCAACTCTAGGCTTCCAATCCTAGAATAGTAACGAAACCCTAGCAAATTGACAATGGGAGCTCTTTAAATCGGCCTCACAGAAGCCAAAAAAATTCTCGACAACCATATTTCAAGAGGCATGATACTCCAGAAAATGTATTAGTCGAACGATCAGGTCAGACATTAAATGTTTTTCTTTTTTTTTAAATACTTAGTGTGGGACCTACCATTACACATGGGATAAAATTATTGGACTTCAGACGTGACACTACGTTCGGAGTCCCCAGACTGAAAATTTTCGCCAATTCCACAAATCAAATGGTTCATTAACGGCTAAAATAGAGATCCATTCCAAGCAAGCTAACAATATACTTGCGCCGTTGTTACTGAGCACAGAACACTGCTTGCTATTGAAGCTCACTATAATACACTCTTTGTCTGGGTGTCTTAATTTTCTTGGAGCCCGTACGCTACGAAGCTCTACGTGCGGTAAATTTTTTCCATACGCTAGCCAGAAATTCATTCTTCGACTTGGCAAAAACAAAAGAAAAAAAAAAAGGCTTCATATATATAATCACATGTCAATCATTTCACGCCAAAAAAGAAAAAGAAAAAAGAAAAAAAAATGCTCCTGTTGAAGCTAGGTGAACAGGAACACAAGATCAACTTCGCAATATATTGGAACACAGCAAAACTACCGCTGCACCTTTTGCTCGACTATATATGGCATCCGGAAATAAAACTCGCCAGCGAATTTCAAGAAAATCCACAGATTGCCGGACACTACGAAAAGTCAGCAGCACATGAATCATGTCTTAGCCTCAGGTGACAGAAGCCCCATCCGCTCGGTTAGATGTTGCATGTGCTGAGTACTGTCCCAAACAGTTTCCATTTCTGGATGCATGTCGCTTGTTTCCTGGATGCTCGAGTCAACTTCCTGAGCAACATCACTTGACAGTGAACTGTCCACAAGGAACTGCTCCCAGAACGAATCATTGATGCAAGGAAGCTTCGAGTCATCTTCAGTGGGAATGCCAATCCCTGAATTGATGGAGAAGTTCTCCGTTTCAATTGGAATCGAATCATCAACTAATTGACCAAGAAACATATCTGGTACCAATGGCACAAGGCTATCAACTGCAATATCAAGGCTGCCATCATTAGGCATTATTCCTGGAATCTTTGTGGATTCATGAGCACTCATGCTTGTTGAGCTAGAAGACATAGTTTCTGGTACAACAGAAAGCAAATCAATGCCAGGGAATTTGGATGGTGCCGGCATGTCAGAAATTCCTGCGGAAGATGGGTGAATTGCTGGAAAGCAAGAGCTTGATGGTAAGCATGGTGCAGGGAACTCTTTGAGAGTAAAACATGAATTCCGGTTTTCAGAAGCTCTCAAGCCATCATGCGAAGAGAAATTCTCAATAAGAAAACCATCAGAGTTGGCCCGGGTTTCCAGCATTGAAGATGATTCACACTTAAGAATCTGCATTAGCAATGATTTTACTGCTTCAGTCATCAGGGGCTGATACTTGATTATTTGACCGTCTTGGGAGGCACTGATCTCACCATCCAAATTGTTTTCTTGCTTAGGGAGCCTTCGTTTTTTGCCAACAACTCCAACAACACGACGGCTGCTGTCATGCTGCTGTACTAGTTGTGCTAAGAAACCAGGACTTTGCATGGCTTTGGCCAAGAATGACATCATCTGTTGCTGGCGCTGTTCCATTCCCTGAAGTCTTTGAGTTAAAGTTTGTAACTGAAGATCTGTTCCCTGTTGCTGCTGTCTAAGTCTGACAAGTTCCTGCATGAGAACATTCTTGTCCCTCTTAAGCCTTTCAATCTCTTCCTCTAGCCCAAACTTGCCCACCTCAACACAAGCTCCTACAGCACCACTGGGTGCATTCGGCTGCTGCTGCTGCTGGGTATGAGCATTGGAGGGTTTTCTCCGGTTGATGCTCTTCAGCAAATGCTTTTGGCCTTTCAAAAAACCCTCATTTGCAAATTCCCATTTGTCTGGATCAACTTTCCGGAAACCCTGATCAGGAGATTGAAAAATGTCTCAATAAAAAATACTTATGAAAGATCTAAACTTTAAAATTAAGCAAATAAAGAGGACAAGTGAGACTGATACATTGCTAAAAAAACAAAACAAAACAAAAAACAAAAAACATGTTTCAGAGCATGCTTTTTATAACTGTGGTCAAGATATCTAAGAAATCACGAGTTACAGCTAGCTAATAAATACTTTTCTTTAATCCAACTTCATTAATTTTATGCATGTACCTAAATATTTAAGGCGACTATAAATAAGGCACAAACAAAAGATTCAATGATGCATTTGAACAGGATGACCATTAGTTCCCGCACCCAAGGCTACATGTTGGCCTTACCACAATAGCATCTCGTATAACACCCAAGGCTATCATGTTGATAAAAATATAAACAAAGCACAAAAGAAAGATTCAACAACACATTAGAACAGGATGACCAATAGTTCCCGCGCCCAAGGCTATCATGTTGGCCTTACCAGGATAGCATCACGTATACCACCTCCTCACCAGTATTTGTTGAATATAACACATTAGTGCACGCACATGGAACGCAGCATGAGCTGTGAGTTTCAGTAGATGAATGCAGTATAATATAAAGTGGAGAGACAGCTCCATCAAATGCAAAATCTAAGAAAGGACTAACATACAAAACTTTAGTTTTACAAAGCATAGAATAGTTTTTGTTTGTGATTCAAATCCCTTGTAATATCAAATCTATTACACTGTTAAGAATATTATATATTTGTTGATTCAAAACATAATGATAAATTTGAATAAGACAAATGTCATGTTACGTGTTATTCAAAAACAAGAAGTGGGGCCGGCCAACAGTCGAAAACGAAGAGCAAGAGTCTGAATGGTAGTACGAAGCGACAAAAAAGCGAGGAGACAAATGTGAGGAAGTGATTCAGTAGCTGAAGCAAGCAAAGGATTCACTGCTATAAGTGGGGATGAGGGAAAGAGAGGGACAATCAACATGAAATAGGGCAAGAACCTATATCAACAATTTTGAAAAAAGTCGAAGACGCAAGCATTGCATAAGAAAGAATCTTGTACCAATCGTAGCAAGGATGGTATATGCAAGGATCTCGAGCTCAAGTGATGTGAGTGTATGAAATTGAGAGCAGCATTGTGTATGAATGACTATTGCGAACCGCTTGCTACTTATCATGGATGGTAAGTGTGAGGAGGAACCTTACGGCGAACTCATGTGCGCCAGAGACGAGCGAGAGATTTCTCGTGTATGGGAGGGTCGAAGTAGGAGGCTTAGTGTGCCAGATCAAACTGCAAAGTGTGTACCTTTTTGTGTGAATGAGCACGGAATAATATTCGATTTTCGGGAGGAAAAAGAATATTGACATCCTCAAGTGTCAAACAGAAATTTTAGGCAAGATTTAAATGGTTATTGTTTTAATGATTTAAGGGTAGCATTTATTTAAATTTAGTTTTCTTAAATATTAAAAAAAAAAAAGTTAACCCAACATTTTATTCATGGATGTTAGATATTTTTGAAGATAATAATAATAATAACAACAACAACATGACATGAATCCTTTTGAAGATAATAATAATAATATTTTAATAAATAATGATTTAAAAATTAAATGATGTTTTATATTGGTTAAAAGATAAACTTATAAATTCATATATGATTTTTACAACACTAAATATAAAATATAGCAATTTATTAAGAATATTATAAATTTGCTGATACAAAACATTATGATAAACTTGATTGAGAAAAATGTTAGTTTAAACAAAGAAAATCAAAATAATAAGAAATAAATAAATTTGGAAAACTATAAGGTGTTCAATTAAAGAAAAATATTAAAACGTTTAGGTTGAAAATCATGCTATCCAATCAATAAGAATAATTAAGGAAAATTTACAGATTAAATTGATGGCACATTATAAAAAATATCGAATTTCAGTAGAGCAAAATATTGAATAAGTTTATATAAGAAGAACAAAACAATAAAAGAAAATTTTAAGATTATTGTAAAAAAAATTAAGAATCCAATTATGAATGTCTAACTAAATGATAAATAACAATTAGGCTCTAAATAAATACTTAAGTGAAAAAATAAAAGTAAAACAAGATTATATAATTTTAATAAAATCTAATAACTTATTAAGAATATCCTGTATTCAAAATATAATGATAACCTTGAATAAGAGAAATGTAACTTTGTTTGAGCAAAGAAAATCAAATTAATAGCGAATAACTAAATTTGGAAAACTATAATATATGTTAAAAAAAAAATAAACATTGAGGCTGAAAATGATGCTATCCAATCAATAAAAGTAAATAAGAAAAATTTAAATATTAAATTGATGGCACATTATAATAAAAATCGAATTTCAGTATAAGAATATATTAAATAAGGTTATATAAGAAGGACAAAACCGGAAAATTTTTAATATTTGGTGATTCAAAATATAATGATAAACTTGAATAAGAGAAATATTACTTGTTTGAACAAAGAAAATCAAAATAATAAGTTACATAAATTTGGAAAACTATAAGAGGTTATATTAAAGAAAAAAATAATTAAACATTAAGGTTGAAAATGATGCTATCCAATTAATAAGAATACAACAACAACAACAACAAGCCTTTATACCACTAAGTGGGGTCATCTATATGAATCCTTTTTCTCTATTGCGTCCTATTGAGTGTCATATTTTCATTTAATTCAAATAAATTAAGATCATTTTTTATATGATACACCCAAGCCTTTATAGGTCTACCTCTGCCTTTCTTAACATAAGTCAAATCTAAAACATCTACTCTCTTAATCAGATCATCAGATGGTCAAAGTTTAATGTGACCAAACCATCTTGAGACAAATCTCTATAATTTTGTCTACCACAAGAACTATATCAATCCCTATCACGGATATATTCATTTTGCATTTTGTCTCTACGTGTATAGCCACTCATTCAACTAAGCATTATCATCTCGACAACACTTAACTTGGTTTTATACTTCTCTTTTAAAGGCCAACATTCTTTGTCATAAAAAAATGCAGGTCTAACCACCATCTTATAAAATTTTCCTTTCACTCTAAGCGGTACTTTTCTATCACACAATAGGCCAGAAGCATTCCTCTACTTCAACCAACCAACTTGAATTCTACTAATAACATCCCCATCTATATTATCATCATTATTGAATTCTACTAAACTTTATTGAATTATAAAAATTGAATAATAAAATATTAGTTATTATAACATTAATTCAAAATGTTTAACAAACATGCATATTATTTCTTATCTTTACATCTCTATGATTTAAAAATATAAGCATTCACTAATGTTCATATCTCACTGTAATTTAAACTATTATTGCCAGTTTAAGATTTTAAAGTAAAAATAAGTAATAGAGGAAAAAACATAAATTAATTTATTTTTATTTTCTAAATGGTTCTTTCAACTATTTTGTATGACTAATTGTTAGAGATAAATAATAAAACTAAACTTTTACTTTCATGGTCATGTGTGGCCTCGGCCAGGAACATGGAAATTTTAATGTAGGAATAAGCAGTCCAAAAGTCAAAATACAAATTTAGTTTTATATTTTATCACTAATAAATAATCATCCAAAATAATTAGAAAAGTAACTATTAAATTAAAACAGTAATAAATTTACCTTTCTTTAGGTTTACCATCTTTTAGATACATTTTCTCCTCTATATAATTAATTTTTACACCAAAATTTTAATATGAAAAAAAAATAAATTAAATCACAACAATCTATCAAAAATTAATGAATATTGATATTCTAAATCATAAAATAACAAAACAAATGAGAAACAAACTTCATGATTGTCAAATATATTGAATCAGTGTTAGAATAATTAATATTTCATTATTCAATTTTGACCACTCAGTAAAGTTTAGAATATTGAATGATATAATAAAATAATTTATCTTTATTTATATTATTTACATCCAACACAATAGCACCGTCTAAGTTGTACAAAATACAATAATTAATATCAATATTTTTTTTGTTTACATACATGAGTACTTTAACATCCTTAGCTAATACTATGTGAGGGTAAATTTTATCATATTCAACATGCACATACAAGTATATTATATTGATTATTTTATTTGTATGATTACATTATTTAATATATTTTCATTATAATTAATAGAAATAAGGTTTAAATACTTGACTATGTGATATTCGTTTCAATTAACCAAATTTACTATTATAATTGATAGTGTTATCAGCGCAAAAAGAAATGCTATGAGCAAGTTTTTATTTTTGCTTAAAAGTGCAAAATGCATTTATGATCTTTACAATCGAAGTACTAATCGATTGTTTAAAATTATTGATGTAATGTATAAATGTATTCATGAGTAACTATAAAATATAAAAATGATGAAAAATGTTTATATAAAATAGAAATAAATGCAATACAATAACTAACTTGAATACAAACTGTGTGGGCAAACTTGCAAATTAAAATATCAAATAATTTCTAACAGTTTAAAAAAATAATTAAAAACTAAAACATTGTAAAAAAAAAAGAATAAAAAAAAAAGTTCTTATAACTCAACATCTAAATTTTAAAGCATAAACAAACTAATAGTCATAATTTTCATAAAAGAAACTCAAATAAATCAACAGTCTTCATCATCTCTTTCATTCACATAATTTTTTTCTCCTTCAAATAGAATTCTTTCATCCTTAAATATTTTTTACTCTTCTTAAAAACATATTTTATCTTCTCTTATAGGCATAGAAAAAACGGATACATGTCAAGGTCATCATCATTATAGATGATCCCCATTTTTTTACCTGATTGAGTCTTACTAACCATCTTCAATCAACTTCTCCAGAATCATCTTCAATTGATCTCCAAGAAAAATTTTCATCACCAAATTTTTGTTCACCATCATCCTGTATTTATCTAATCATCCTTCATTCCTCTAAGTAAGATCTTCATCAACAGATGTTTTTCATCATCAT